GTCCTTGGGGGGGTCTTCATGTCCTTGGGGGGCCCCCGTGTCCAGGGGGGATCCTGGTTGTCCTTGGGGGGGTCCTCATGTCCTTGGGGGGTCCCCGTGTCCAGGGGGGATCCTGACTGTCCTTGGGGGGTCCCCATATCCTTTGGGGTCCCCGTGTCCAGGGGGAAGTCCCGGTTGTCCTTGGGGGGGGGGCCCCCTGTCCTTGGGGGCTCCCCGTGTCCAAGGGGGGTTCTGGCTGTCCTTGGGGGGGTCCCCGTGTCCTTTGGGGTCCCCGTGTCCAGGGGGAAGTCCCAGCTGTCCTTGGGGGGGTCCCCATGTCCTTGGGGGGTCCCCATGTCCTTGGGGGTCCAGGAGGGGGTCCTGGTTGTCCTTGGGAGGGGTCCCCATGTCCTTTGGGGTCCCCGTGTCCAGGAGGGGGTCCTGGTTGTCCTTGGGGGGGTCCCCATGTCCTTTGGGGTCCCCTTGTCCTTGGGAGCCCCCCCGGAGGGTTCCCGTGCCCAGGGGGGGTCTGGTGGCTCCGGAGGGTCCTTGGTGCTGCTGCCACCGCCACTGTCCCCACCTCTGGGGACACCTGCTGGTGTCGGGGGGACATTTGGGGACCTGAGCCCTGCCGGGGGCTCGGGGGTGTCCCCAAGGCTGGGCCAGCAGGGAGGTGACACCTGGGGCTCAGTGATGTCCCCAAGGCTGGGCCAGCAGGGAGGTGACACCCGGGGACCAGAGCCCGTCCCTGACCCTGCACCAGCAGGGAGGTGACACTTGGGGACCAGAGTGTGTCCTACAGCTCACTGCGTGTCCCCAAGGCTGTGCCAGCAGGGAGGTGACACTTGGGACACTGTCACTGTCCCCAAGGTTGTGCCAGTAGGGAGGTGACAAGGTGGGGACAGGAGTCCATCCCTGACCCCACATCACCAGCAGGGAGGTGACAAGGTGGGGACAGAGCCCGTCCTGGGGCTCAGTGATGTCCCCAAGGCTGTGTCATCAGGGAGGTGAGACCGGGGACACCGTCACTGTCCCCAAGGCTGTGCCAGCAGGGAGGTGACACCTGGGGACCAGAGCGTGTCCTACAGCTCACTGTGTGTCCCCAAGGCTGTGTCAGCAGGGAGGTGACACCGGGGACACTGTCACTGTCCCAAGGCTGTGCCAGCAGGGAGGTGACACTCGGGGACCGAAGCCTGTCCCGGGGGCTCCGTGCGTGTCCCCAAGCCTGTGCCAGCAGGGAGGTGACACTCGGGGACCCGTCGCGGGACGCGGTGCAATGTCCTTGACCCGACACCAGCAGCGAGGTGACACGAGGTGACACGAGGTGACACGAGGTGACACGCGGGGACCGGAGCAGCGGGGGGGCGCGGGGGGGGGGGGGGGGGGCCGGGCGTCCCTCGGGTGTCCCCCCGGTGCCCCCCGGTGTCCCCCCGGTGTCCCCCCGCCCCTCCCGGGCTCACACGAGGTGGCCGCGGCCGTTGATGTAGATGCCGTTGGTGCTGGGCTTGGCCTGGAGCATCCCGTTCTCCTGCACGAAGTGGGTCATGGCCGCCTTGATGGGGTCCCCCCCGCCGCCCCCGCCGCCCCCCGCGTCCTCCTCCTCCTCCTTGGGGTCCTTCCCCGGGGGCGGCGGCGGCGGCAGCAGCGGAGCCGCCGGAACGTCCGTCTGGGTCTCGATCTCCCGCACCGTGGAGAGCGTCGAGTAACTGCGGCCCTCGGGCTCCTCGCTCTGGGGACGGGGGACGGGACGGGGCCGTGAGGGGAGGGGACAAGGGGACACCCCCCCCTCAAACCCCCCCGGGACGCGGGGATGAGCCCCGGGCACTGCTGGGGACGGGGTGGTGGTGGGGACACGGGGACTGGTGGGGACAGGGGCGTTGATGGGGACACAGGGACCGATGGGGACACCGGGACCGACGGGGACAGGGGGACTGGTGGGGACAGGGGGACCGATGGGGACATGAGGACTGGTGGGGACACGGGGATCGATGGGGACACAGGGACTGGTGGGGACATGGGCACTGATGGGGACACCCCGGGCACTGACAGGGACATGGGGACCCCTGGGGACACCACAGACACTGATGGGGACACCACGGGCACTGACAGGGACACCACAGGCACCGACAGGGACGTGGGCACTGATGGGAACACCACGGACACTGAGAGGGACATGGGGACCCCTGGGGACACCACGGGCACTGATGGGGCCATGGGCACCCCCAGAGACACCACGGGCACCCTCGGGGACACGGGCAGCCCCAGGGACACCACGGGCACCGACAGGGACATGGGCACTGATGGGGACACCACGGGCACGGAGAGGGACACCACGGGCACTGATGGGGACACGGACACCCCTGGGGACACCCCGTGCCCCCCCCCCCCCCGCATGCCCCCCGTGCCCCCCCAGCTCTCACCATGGCGGAGCAGATGCTGGTGCCCCTCAGGCTGTCCCCCCTCAGGCTGTCCCCTCGCAGGCTGTCCCCCCTCAGGCTGTCCCCCCTCAGGCTGTCCCCCCTCAGGCTGTCCCCTCGCAGGCTGCCCTGGCGACTCTCTGCCCGCAGTTGCAGCGTCTCCTCCAGCTGGGAGGGACAGCCCTGTCAGTGCCCATGGGCACCACACGGGCACCCCATGGGCCAATCCCACAGACACCCTATGGGCACCCCACAGCCCAGCCCTATGGACACCCCATGGTCTGATCCCACAGGCACCACACGGGCACCCCGTGGGCACCCCATGGACACTCCATGGGTACCCCATGGGTTGATCCCACAACCACCCCATAGGCTGATCCCCCGGGTACCCTGCGGGCACCCCATGGGCACCCCATGGACACCACATGGCCCAGCCCCATGGACACTCCGTGGTCTGATCCCACGGGCACCACACGGGCACTCAATGGACACCCCATGGGCTGATCCCACAACCACCCCATGGTCTGATCCCCTGGGCACCCCACGGGCACCCCATGGGCACCCCATGGTCTGATCCCACAGACACCCCACAGACACCCCATGGGCACCCCACAGCCCAGCTCCCCGGGTACCCCCCGGGCACCCCAAAACCCCCTTCCTCGAGTGCCCCCAGACTCCCCACTCGGGGCACCCCAAGATCCCTCTCCCCCGGGCACCCCGACACTCACCACCCCACCCCTCACGCCCCCAGCGTCCCCCCAACCCCAATATCCCCCGTGCCCCCCGTACCCTCCTGTGCCCCCTATACCCCCCG